ACGCGAGTGTCTCGCTTTGCAAGTGCCATCAGAGCCACGCAAGCCCTTTCACCTTTAAATAGGTTTCGTTCTTTTCCTCTTTTTGAAAGTTATTGTGTGCGAAAATCTCTCAAAAGAGCAAGAATTCCCGCTTCGTTTCAATGGCACCGAAATCCAAGAGGTGTAAAGTGAAGGGAAAGGGCCCCGGACGCTACTCCGACCGCCTGTCCGCCGGTGCGACCGCCGATGTGTCTGAGGCGTGCTCGGGTAAGTTGAGAAAGTTTGTTTTAATATTCTCGTGTTGGTCACCGCTGTCGTGCCAGGAAGATGAGTGCTGCTCATCTTGCCTTGGTGGATTAGGCAGTCCCCGTGATTTTGGTAAAACTGCCCCTTTTCAGGCGGATTTTACCCTCATCCGCGTTGGGCGATTCCAGCCTTTATAGGCGAGATTGGTCCCTATTAGGCGAAAGTGAACTCAACAGGCGAGTTCGATTTTCATCTAGTAAAGGCGAACGTGGCTTATGCAAGCGGCTCTCATCCTGTCTGGCGAATTTTGCTCCTTGACAGGCGGATCTGCATCTGCCTCTTGATTTTTCTTGACTCTGTTTTGCAGTGACCTCTTCCGACTGAGCCCTCCCAAAGGGCGTGGCTACCGGCTTCGCCGGAGGTGAAGGTAATCCAGCGCCTCCCCGATTTCCTTCCTTGGGTCCGGTGCCCGTCTTCTTCGCCGATAAGCCGGTTGGCTCGACAAGGAGAGTCACCGATGGGCACCACCTAACGCTGCGTGAGTTGACCACTGACGCGGTGTTGACAGACGAGGACAGGGCGGAGCTACCAAAGCCTCAGTTTTTGTTTGGCGATTCTGTCACCGATCCTTCCGCTTTGCTGCTCAAGGAGAGCAGATGGTTGCGTACAGTGGAGGGGACTCACTATTACCTTCCCGTCATGCCGAGGGGGTTCTCGATCGTCGGGCTACGGTCCTTCGCGGTCCCCCGAGTGATGAACTGGGACTTGACCCCCACTCAGGACGGGGTCACCTGTGGCGTCTTTACAGGCTCCACGGCGGGATATGGGGTGGAGGGCTCATGTAAGCGCGTGACGGGTCTGCGCCCTGGCCTGTTGTCCAATGAGCCGCCTGCAGGGGAGTCGGCGGCGGTAGCAGAGACCTTCCGTCACCGCTTCTTTCGAGTAGGTGGGAGTTTTCCCCCAAAGGACTTCAGAGCCTCGGGGTGGGTATATTCTGCGCCGGGAAGCGATACTTGGTGGTCCAAGATCACCGATTGCATCTTGGCTGAGAATTCTGACCTCAAGAATTCGGAGCTGTATGTGGCTATTCAAGGCACTCGACATGGTTTGAGGATTAATGCCTCGCAGTTTCACAGCATCCTGGAACTGTACTGTGCGGAAAGCGGCACCTTCTTCACCCCCAACGGTGAACTCGGTATGTCCCCTCACGAGATGTATGACGTGTCAGGGCTGCCCCTGGGGGACTTTCCTTACGAGGAGTACGTCCCAGACCAAGATGAGATCGACCAGCTTTCCGACTGTTCCCCCTTGGTAGTGGAAACTCTGTGGGAGTTGCTCTGCCATTATCACATCTACCTCAGCACCTTGGGGGCTAGGGATCACAAGGGGAAGAAGAAGAGGACTCCGGGAATCAGTCACAAGAACTGGGCTGACTATCTGTTCCCTAGGAACGATGTCAAAGGGAATCCTGTTCTTCCTCTAGGCGGGTGCGACCAGGCTGAAGTGGAAAGGAGGATGGCTGAAGGGGAAGCCACCATAGCTCTCGACCATGATGAGGGCGGGTTCAAATCTGGAACGGTCTTCCATTCGTTCCACCACCAGGCCATGTCCCCTATCTTTGGGAAGGCTCTGCTTGCAGGGTATCTCATGTTGTGGCTCAAGAGGTGCGTAATCCCCACTCACTCTTTTGAGGCTATTCCCGTAGAGGTCGTGTATCCTGCGGTTTGTTTAGCCCATGGGAAGTCCTATTCCCTGGTATCGGCGATGATAGCGTGTATTCACCGGGGGCTCCGCACTCTGACGGTCTAATTTTGCCGTGTGTCGACTACCGATGAGGGGAATGGAGAGGTCATCAGGACTCCCAATCCCAGAGTGGGGCTGCCATACACCTACTTAATGGCGTGGTTTGTTTACCACTGCGAGTGTTTGATGAGCGTCCCCGCGACTCCTCAAGGGGACAGGTTCGTTCCGTTCCTTGAGCGTTTGGAGAGGTGCTCTTGGAAGTGTAAAGACATTCCCGATGCGCGGAAGACCCTCTCCCATTTTGTCCACTACAATTTTTCGTCGCTTCTTCCCCTACTTCAGCGGAGGAAGATACGGCGAGTCTCTTAGGGATGTGTCGATGGCGGACCGCCCCACAGCTCTCTCACGTGGCGCTTTTCAATGGTTGGTGAATATTCGGCTGGGGTATCACATTCTACGCATAGGCTCTGTGTGCTATCTTGAGCCGTATATCCCCTGCAGGTTCGCCCGTCAGTTCGGGTACGACCAATTGTACGTGGGCAACACCAATCCCCGCCTACACTTCGAAGGGGGACTGGTGGATGGAGCTCGGGGATGGTTCTGGACCCATGCCAATGGTACCCAGGCTCGTTTTGAGTTACCCACGAAGGATCGCGATTTGCATCACACGCTTCTATACTATCGGTGGTATCGGGGCGCCAGTGCTAACCCCGCTGGTTTCTGGTTTCAGAGCTCATGTCTGGCAGAGCGCGATCGTCCTCTCAGGGGGGCTCTCCATTCTTCAAGGCGAAGGGGCCACCAAACTGCTAGGGAGCTATTCTCAGAGGATCCAGTAGAGGACACCGAGAGTTATGACGCCGGTTTAGACGAATCTGAGGCTCCTGAGGTTCGAGTTCCTCCTCTTTGTCCTTCGTTGGGTGCCCCTGGTGAACCACGAGAATCTGAACACCCCAGACAGGTCCAGAGTCTGACAATTGGACAGATGGGGACACCTCTTCTGTCTTCGAGTAGCTCGCTTCTCTCGAAGCGTCAGCGGGAGGCAGCGACCGAGAGTTCCCGAGCGGAGGCGGCCAAGAAGGCCCGTCGTGATGAGACAGCGGAGACCGTCCGAGCGGCGGAGGGTCAGGAAAACGTTCCTCCGGTAAGCATCCCCGGAGCGGCGATGTCTGGGTCTGGAGCTGCACTGCCCGCCTCTTCTGCTGCATCGGGTGCAGTCCCGGCGACTTCGAAGGGCGCTTCTCCGCAGTCTGGCGTGAGGCCACCGACGGGAGTTCCAACGGCTTCTGCGTCCGCATCAGGAGGTAGTCTTTGCAATAGTATCCTTGATCGCAACGTTGGTCTTACACCGTTTGACACTTGTATTGGGCCTATGCAGGTGTGGTTGAGAAAGTGATCTCCGTTCCCTCTGACGAAGAGGAGGAGGCTGGAAATGAAGAGGGGCCTACAGGATCAGGTGAGTGTAAGTTTTAACATTACTCATTCTACCGTACCCCACTGTTAATAGGGTCCCTTTCGAGGGGCCTCCGTTAACCTTCTTCGTGCATTCGTAGCTGATCCTGTCCAAGAAGCCGCTGGCAAAGAGGATCTTCCCTCTTGGACGAGTCGCTCGTCTGGTGAGACGGGCGAATCTGAGGAGGATGATGACGTCTCGGTTCATGAGGCATTGTCCAGCGAGGAAGAGGTGTTGGCTCGTGAGGATGTGTCCGGCCAAATAGGGGGATCCCCTGCTCCTGCGGCAGCGCCGGCTGGGGATCGTTCATCAGTGCGAGAGTCTCCGCTTCAAAGGGAGGCTTCTACTCTGCAAGTGACCACTCCCTTGTCGGCGGCGGCCGTTGATGCTGTGACCGCTGCTCCGAGGGCGTCATTGGTCACACCGGCTTTGGCGGCGCCAATCACCACTTCTACGGTTGTGACTACGGGCACTTCAACCGCGATTTCATCCACGGCGGAGGAGGCTGCCCTCTCTCCCTTGGTGCGAGAGTCTTCGCTTCAAAGGGAGGCTTCTACTCTGCAAGTGACCACTCCTTTGTCGGCAATGGCCGTTGATGCTGTGACCGCTGCTCCGAGGGCGTCATTGGTCATACCAGCTTTGGCGGCACCAATCACCACTTCTACGGTTGTGACTATGGGCACTTCAACCGCGATTTCATCCACGGCGGAGGAGGCCGCCCTCTCTCCCTTGGAGCGTGAGCGAAGAAGGAGTGCGGCACGATCCGTGGCTGATTTCCAAGACACTCTAGCCGCATGCATCAGGCTCGCTTTGGAGGAGAATTGTCCTTTCAAGAGTTTCGAAGAGGATATCGATTATGTCGTGTGCTTCTTAATCAAGAGGCTTGGCCGGACTGCGGCGATGCCCTACTTCCAGCGTAAGGAGGAAGTGAAGGAAGCGGTTCAACGGTTGCTCGCTCTTCGCGCGAAGAGCTCCACTCTCGTGGATCTTGCAATCGGCGAAGTCCGAGCAGCGGGGGAAGAACGCGATCGCCGTCTGGACGAGACCATGTCGCTGGAGGCGAGATTGTCAGCAGAGTTGGAGCAAGCCAAGGCTGAGGATGAGACAGAAGGCTGATAACCGCGTCTCTCGTTTGTCTTCGAAGGTAGAGAATCTGAAGCAGGTTATAGCTAAGGCACAAGCTTCATTGGCCATTCAGGAGAAGGCTTGTGAACAGGCGGTCAAAGAGTTGGAAAGCATTGAATCTCGCCAGCAACTGACAGCTAATTCCGTCGAGGAAAAGGCTCGAGCCCATAGGGAGGTCAAAGAGACCATCCAAGACTTGGCCTCGCGCACTGAGGAAGATCTTCGCCAAGAGATCCTGCGGAGGCTGGAGCTTCGTCATGCTGGCGAGATCCGTGAGGCGGAATTGCGATTGAAAGCTTTGTAATTTGCCCCCTTTCGTCTTTGATTGCCAGTTGTACTAGGATTTCTTTCTATGAATGAAACTATCCCTTTGTTTTTTGGTTACTGTTACCTCTGTGCATGCTCCATTTCTTTTCTAACATGTGTTAGCTAAAGCGTTAGCTGTGAGGGGCGGTCTTCAGCTGTCGGCGAATTTCGACCGTAAGCTTGTTTCCCCTGCGGGCGGATTTCGTCCGCAGGCGGATTTGGAATTGACTCAAATTCTAGAAGGGTAGTCAGTTTCGACCTGCGGGAACCTCAACGGTGAATTCGCCGTCGAATAGGCTCCACTTTCGGTGGGCCACGTATTGGCTTGTGATTATGTCAGCCGAGAGAACGTGGGCACGTCGATCCGTATTGAATGCGGCGTAGTGGGGCTCTTGGTCCCTCGCGCCAGATTCGGGCCGTTGTTGAAGATCGTGCTTAAGAAAAACCGTTGGATCTTGGCCGTCCAGGTAAGATCCGATTCGTTCGGCCTTACCCTTCAACTGTGTTAGCCTTGAACAGTCTAATCAAGTATTGAGTAACCGCCTAGAGTTTTTAGGGTATTTAACACCCTTACTCTCTATCAAGAGGACCTACAGCCTTCTCATCATCTTCCTCAGAGTAAACCCAGATCTTTCCTTCCTCATACCCCCGATGGCGCCGAAGGTGAAGAGGGTCGCCTCTAAGAAAAGGAAAGAACCTTCTTCCTCGGGCGCTGCTGAGGCTTCTGCGGCCGAAGGTACTCTTTCGTCCTGGCTCTCGCGCGGGTTGAACAAGTACAGATTGAGGGGAGGTGCCGACTGCCGAGGAGCCTGCGGCCGAGCCTATCTTGATTTCAGACGACGAATCTGAAGGTCCTGCGACCTCCGTCGCTTCAGACCCTGCTCCCGAACCGGGAGATGAACCCTGCCTTGAGATCCCGCCTATTACGACGCTCGCTCCAGGACAAGAACCTGCTCCCTCCGAGTCCCTGTCCTGGCAGGCTCGCATCGAAGAGTTCGAGAGCGCTGTGAGACAGGTACCTGCTCCCTCCGAGTCCCTGTCCTGGCAGGCTCGCATCGAAGAGTTCGAGAGCGCTGTGAGACAGGTGATTTCCCTTGTCGGACTCGACATGGGCAGTTTTGACAGCTTCAGGCAGTCTCTCTTTGATCGCGTGGCTGATTTGCGGCGATCAGGTGAAAATCGGCTCGCTACCCGTTGCATGCGTGAACTTCGTCTCTTGGAGCCACGCATGATAGGGTTAGAGACCTTGCTACGGGAAGGTCCGGAAGCCAACATGGAGTCTTTCCAGGCTCATGTTAGGCGTCAGGAAGCCCTGGAGCAGGAGACTCGTTCCAAAGAAATAGCGGATTTGGAGTCTGTCGCCAACTTTTGGGTGGGTCAACAACATTTGCTAGAGGAGCAAATCATTGACCTCAATCGCACTATGGTTCGCCTGAGGGCCGAATTGGGACAGGCGGAGGCGAAGTGGAAGGGGCTCCAGTCCGACGTTGTGAAGGTCAGTAAGAATGCTGAGGCGGAAACTCGACGCCTGCTAGCCTTGCGCCAGGAAGATGCTGCCGCGGATTCGGAAGGCTGCTGAAAACAAGGCTCGGGAAGACCACGCGAGCCAGGTGGAGGCGGCCAAAGAAGAGATCTCCACTTTTAGCGTGTTTGACTGAGACTTCTGCCTCATGATTGTGTTAAGACATTTCGTTTATGACTTGTTTGTTTATGAAGTCACCACTTTGTTCAAATGTATTGTCTTAAAAACTGGGTGCATGTTTTGCTTCTTTGAACGTAATATTACAACTTTCGCAATTGCAAAAACCATAACTTTTTTCAAATGTACTGTCTTAAAGCATCAATGAGGTTTGTGTCCGCTCATTGTGCGAATACTCTTTGGATATGTCGCTTTCCAGTGTTTTTCTCTGTAATTGCCGACAATCTCGTACCATAGGCGAAATCTCTTGCGTGGCGACGAGTCTATTCTCAAGGCCAAACTCTATTCCGGTGAGTTTACGCTGTCGGCGAAACTATGGCGACGGCGAATTCGCTAAGATAGTGAAGCTCGGCTCCTGATGAGTTCTCGTTGCTGGCGAAGCTTGTATGCAGGCGAAACTCGATCGCGGCGAGTTTTGCTTGGAAGCTAAACTCAACTGCTGGCGAGTTCGAGTAGACGGCCAAACTCAACTGCTGACGAACTTACGCTTCAGGCGAAACCCGTATGGTTTCGAGCTGTGACAAAAATCAAACTCGATTGATGGCGAATTTGAGTTGTAAGCAAAACTCGTATGATGGCGAGCTCACACTACAGGCGAAATTTGGATGGCGGTGAGTTTGTCCAACAGTCAGAAATTCAACTGTGGGCGAAGCTTGTGTCACGCGTCCAGCTGCAGGCCTAAGTGCTCGCCAGCTAAGCCTCTGCGGGCGCATTAATGCTCATTTAATGGTGAAGCGACCGAACGCTTCGCCTCTCGTGTTCAATCCGATCGGTCGGTTTGGGGTTTCGAGAGGACCGGCCTTTATTGGCGTTGAGTTCGAAGCATCGCAGGACATCCTGACCGTTTGATCGCTTGGGGTGGTGAATCTCAGCCGTTGGATTTTTTGAATGTATATCTGTACTTGTCCCTCTTCAGCAGAGTCCTTACTGCTTTCGAGAAAAAAAATCCGCTAGAAGAAGATCTCCGCGAGAAACTTCCCTTCCTCATGGCCTCCTCTTCTTACGATGTGCTTCCTCTCGTGGAAGAGGGTTTAGGAGCGCGCCGCCGCCCCGGGGCGGTGATGCCTCGCCACACGGCGATGCAGCGGAACCTGGAGACGCGCGTGGCGAGGGTTGGATGCACCGCCCTCGAGGAACTGGCTTAGCATGACTCCTCCGGACGTGCCACCGCCCTTCTCCCCATGTATCTCCTCTCCGAGCGGTGAGGAGCGGGCCGAAGCGGATTCAGGGCAAAGGAGCCGAACTCAGACATCTGCGGAAGCGACACCAAGCGGTACTGGACCGGCTAATGGACGCTTAACCTGGACAGGGTCCATTTCTTCGGAGAGGACGCTGGCTCTCTTTCCGGCGAGGCCAAAGCTTGAGGAGCTGGGCGTGAGGCGAGCGGCTGTTTGAGCCGCCGAGACGGTGGACCGGGAGCTCCAACTCCTTTGCCAGGAGGAGGAAGACAGCCAGGCGGATTTAGCCAGGCGACAGCAGGAGCAAAAGGAGAAGGCGAGGATCCGGCGTGCGGCGGAGCGTGCTGCGGTCAAGGCTAAGATTGGCTCTTTTAGCCTGCTGAAATTCCTGTAATGCCGCTGCTTAAGTCCTCCCTCCCTTTTTTGTTGTTTTGTTAATTCAGTCGGTGCCTCAGGCACCACAACTAAACTGAAAACTTATGTAAACTTTGGCCCGTTATGGCCTTTTCTTTCGCTTGTTTTGCTTATCTTTGCCTTACATGCACATCTTTCTTTTTTTTTTTTTTTTTTTTTTTTTTTTTTTTTGTCTGTGCTGTGTGGCATTTGAATTGAACTCGATGAGCCTCTGACCATTCTATTTTTGACTTAGTCTTTTTAGGCTCTTGTTCTGTTCTCTGTTGTCCGCAACGTGGGATCGGGTTAATTCCGATTTTCGCGTTGTAGCTCCAAAGAGATCAAGAGAGTAACACTTGGCTTGTAGCAGAGAACAATCGTTCGCTCCTGCGACCAACTGAAGAACTCAACTTCAACTCGCCTCTCGGCGAGTTGTTGCTTGGGGAACCGACAGACAAGTCGTTTGCCGAACTGTCTGCGACAATTATCGTCATTTGGGAATGTGACAATTGATTATGGTAGGAGCCATCGCGTGGTAGACCACTACCCATCAGTTATCCTAAGGGAGTGTTAGGATATCTGGAATAGGTCAAATAGTTCAGGGACGTAGGAGTATGACTATCGACAGAAGTAATAGCACGTCGCGTGGTAGGCCATTACTTAGGCTGTGCTATTCGTAGGAATAACGGCGCCAATCATCAGAGGTGATCATTAACTTGATGGGGTCTTGTCGCGATTGGAGCAATTGTGAGGGCCTACCATTCTCCTGAAGAAGATTGGCAAGTGAATTGTGTCAGAGGTTTAATGTTAACGTGACAGGGAATGTCGTGATTGGAACGACTTTGAGGACCCACCATCCTTTAGAAGAGGATTGGAGAGTGATTTTGTCAGAGGTTTAATGTTAACGTGACAGGGAATGTCGTGATCGGAACAACTTTGAGGACCCACCATCCTTTAGAAGAGGATTGGTGAGTGATTTTGGCTCTGGTCCTAACTATCTGAAGGTTTGACCGAGTGGGCTTTTGATGTCGCCCACCTGAGATGCTAATCTCGCCTATTTTGAGAGATTCGCCAAGACAGGGTGTTTAGCTGGTAGAATGAATTTTGCCTAGACTGATAGGCCTGCTTGGTGTGGGCGATTCGCCTGATCTGAGTGATCCGCTTGATCTGAACGATTCGCCTGATTTAAGCAGTTCACCCGACTTGAGCGATTCGCCTGATTTGGGCAGTTCGCCCGTACTGGCAGCCTGGCTCAGGAAATTGAAGCATAGGAATAGTTTTACCTCTTATACCATTTGGAGGGTGTGAGGGCCAGTTTAGACTCGTGCACTCGTGGGAGTTTGTGAAGGAGAACTAGGGGTAGTACTTCTTCAAATACTTGCTGTTGATGGGCATCATGATCTTATCGCCATTCG